CAATATAATATTATAATATATTATAAAATATTATGTTATATTATATTAATACTTATAATATTATTATAATATAAAATAAATATTATAACATTTTGTTTATAATATATTTTATTATAATTATATAATAATATATTTAATACTAATGTTGTAATAGGTCAAACTGATGTTGAAAAAAAACACTCAACATGGTGTTTTGAAAACACTTTGAGAGAAAAACATAACACCATGGTGTTTTTTTTTACAAAAACACAACAATGAAAACACCATAGTATCTAAACGAAACCTTTTTCGTTTGGATACCATGGTGTTTTTTTTGTTGTGTTTTTATAAAAAAACATCATGGTGTTGTGTTTTTAACTTAAAATGTTTTCAAAACACCATGCTAAGTATTTGGTCAATACTAGTTTGACCTATTATAACATTAGTATTAAACATATTATATATTAATTATAATAAATATATTATAAATAAAATATAATAATATTTAGTTTACATTATAATAGTATTATAAGTATTAAATGTAATGCAATATAATATTGTATAATGTATGATAATATTATATTGTACTGTAATGAGTTAAATTATATTATAATTATTACATATTATTTTCAAATAATTATATATTTAATTATTTTGGTATATCAATTTGTTATTGTTATATACTATATTAATTTTTTATAATAATATTATTTTATATTAATATAATATTATACTATTATTAATATAATATAATATTATACTATTATTCATATAATATAATATTATTAATAATGTTAATATTATGTTATTACTAGTATGTTATTAATAAATTAATATTTTATAAATATTTTAATATTATGTAATATAATATGATCTTTAATATGTTAGAGTTTATTAATAGTAATTTAATAATATATTAATAATTTATTATATAAATAAATATTATTATATTATGAGTATATTATTTTTACATTAACATTTGTTAGCAATAAATTATTTTATTATTTAAAATTATTTTACTTTATAATATATTATATATTATAAATAATATATTATATTGGTATATGTCATATTACTTAAATATGTTACTATTATATAATATTTTATAATTATTAATTTATTATAATTTATTTATTAAAAAGTTAATAATGTTATAGTGATTATACTACTGTATAGTAGATTATTATATTATTATTTATTATCAATAACTTTTTTATTATTTGTTATTAGTTTATTTATATTTTATTATTATTTATTTATTATATAATATATTATTAACATATTAAATATTGGTATTTAATATGTTATTATATTATTATATAAGATATTTTATTTATTGTATTTTCTATTATTTAATAAATATTACTAATATATTAAATTAACTATAATATAGTATAGTATAGTATAGTATAATATAATAAGCATGTTGATAATAACTCTATATTAATTACATTTAATATATTACGTTAGATATTATATTAACACATTCTCAAACTCAAAACTAAAACACCAAACTTAAAACACCTAACATGTGTTTTGAAATAAATGTTGTGTTTTTAGTTTGAGGATGATTTAGCTCAAAAAACACCATGGTATTCAAACGCATAGTGTTTTATTTTTAACAAAAACATCATGGAAACAAGTAAAACACCATGGTATCTAAACGGATTCCAATATAGATTTAAGATTTATCTCATTATATGAAATCACAAAATTACCATGATGATTGACATTTTTTACCAATTTACATTCTAATATTGAAGACGTTATCATTGATTAACGAGCACTTGATAGATATTGTCTGGGGGTACTGAACTAATCCCTATTATCAATTCAGTTACAAATATCTTCAACAGTGACATTGAATCCGACATGTTTGATCGAACAATGAATGAATATATTAGTTATGTAGCCTGTTAAATTAAGGTTTTTATTTGCAAAAGAATCCTAGAACCAAACATTGGTAAAGTTAGACGTTTTCCTTCTTTGTTTTTACTGCTAGCTGCACGTATTGTATTTTTTCTAACAAAATAATCTATCTTTGACTGGGTTTTGTATGTAGCAGCCGTCACTCATTAAGCAAGGAACATTCATCATTGTTCCTACTATATTTACGGCTATTAATTAATATAATAAAGTATAATAGAAAATAGTAAATTATTATATAATAAATTATATTATAATATTATTATAATATATAAAATATTATTAACCAATATGTAATAATGATATATAATAATATTATATTAGATAATGTTATATAATATTTTATTATCTTACGTTATAATAAAATTTTATAATATAATATAATTAAATATATTATATATTATAATACAATTAACATATATTAGATATTTAGTAAATTAGTGAATCAAAATTATCCCGCTTTCCTCATGATTGTCCCAAAGTTAAGAATGAGGTAAATTTTGGAGGTTGGGATAAAAAGTTTATATAGAAGTGGAATAATTTTGGGAAAAGTAGGGTTAATTATGCCAATCCCATTGTCCCAATGAATAACACCTTAAAGTGAAATCCTAATCTTGTTGTCCCAATAAATAACATCATAAAGTAATGTCCTAAAAAAATATTTCACTTACCCTAAAATTACACCAACCAATAACCCCCCCATAGAGAATTGGCGGGAATTTCACTTATTCCAACATAAAATCTAAATCAGTACAAATAATGCATGAAAATAATGTAAGTATTTAAAATTAATACAATAGATAAATCAGTATAAGCAGATTAGACTATATACAAACCAATTTATTCAACAGCTTTAAAATTGATACTGAAAGTTTTTATCTCCTTTTTTTTTTTTCTCTACATGATTTTCTATGGAGGATTCTCTTTGTATGTTTGTTTCATGTTCTTAAGGATTATTTACATCCCGGTTCTCTATGATATGTCGTAATCATACGAGTGATCCTAGAGTTGTTGTATATGCGCGGTTAACTCAGAGATTACCTATCGACATTATATGCGTAACCTTAATTAACCCTTAGCTCACCTTCATTAGTGTTATTCGTGTAACCTTAATTAAAAAACACAGAGTTATCCTTATAAATACACAAACTTTGAGGTCAGTTATGTAATTACACTATACCACGAGGGTACTATGAAGTAAACAAATTAAACAAATTATTTTTTACCCAATTAAGAAAGGTTGTTGAGCTTACAAACACTTTAGGATTTCCTTTTCATTTTTGGTAGGAAAATATGGGCCTGGGCCCTGGACAGTCTGTTGGTTGCTCACGGGTCGGGTTCGGGTTTCACCCGCTTCATCCGGAAACCACCGTCGGAAGCTTCTGGTCTTCTCCCGATCAAAGAAAACAATCTCCAATTCCTCGGAAACTTTTTCATCCTAAATTTCTCGGCTTTTTCTGGTGCGATCTGGTAATTCCTCTAAAAAATTTTCTGTCTCTGAGGTTATCGCCTTGTATTTTGATTCGGTTGGATCTTCAGCAAAATTGCTGCTTGATTTGTGTAATTTTATGGATATTATGATTATTTTTATATGCCTTCGGTGTTTAATATTGTTTAATTTTGATCTTGTAGAGAAAATAAAAGTAGAATCTGGGAATGACTTTTTTTCAGTCTCTTGACTCAATTGTAGGGCCGCAAAACATAGAAATAAAATGTGCACTAAAGGAAAAAAAAACCCCCACCCAAAATTAAAATGCATGTCACTGATCCTATAGTTTGGCTAAGTTTTCGGGGAAAAAAGAAAAATCAGTTTTTTTTTTGTAAACCTAGTGCTTGTTATACCCTTGTATAGCATAAAGAGATCACTATGGAGGAAGGAGGCCTTTGATTTATATTGCATTTCTGTCTCTGTTATCTGAAGGAAATTTAACCCAGTAATCTGGTACTAATTTCTGGTGAAATTATTTGTCTATGGATACTTGGATAGTTATTCAGGACCAATCAACTGCTTTATACATACTTATTCATCAAAAGCTTTTCGTGCTCTTGTATCTAACTTTAAAAGAAATCGAAGAGGCTCTTCAAATTTCTTTTCGATGATGCATAAGTTTAACATCAGCTAAATGCACAGAGAAATATTGAAGAGGGACAAATGCATTATGCTACTGGCGATGCCAATTAGTTCGCAAGTTCTGACTATTGTAGCCTGCCTACCCAATTATGTATCAATAAGAATTTCCTGGATGTATTGGGAATTGCATTTATGCACCAATTTTGATTGGTTAGGATGTTCCATGTATTCATTGAAATCTTGGGGGAAGTCTTCGAAGATAAGGCCAATACAAAGGTTGGTTATGTTATTTTGCGTCGGGTGTGTTAAATGATTGAGATATTTAACAATAAATTTTAGTTGGAAGATAGCTCGGTAATGAATTGTATGGGGGTGGAAGTAAGAACTGCAATATGTGCCAAAGGTTGTGCAAGGATGACAAGGCATGTCTAAGGTTTATAGTTGTAGTGGATACAAGAATGGACATGTAACAAGATGAGTTCCAAGTCTACCAGTAATTCTTCAATGATTCTTATGCCTTTTGCACTGAAATATTTGAATCTTTAGATTTATCATCTCGCTTCGTAGATGTTACTGTTTATGCAAAAACTTCTCGAAAGCAGTTTATTGCTGCTAATAACTTCTAACGTGATCCCATCTAATCTTTGACCACTGCTCTTTTACTTCAATTTTCTTGCAGATTGGATTTAGTGGCTTACAATGAGGGAAAGAAGTTACAGGGAAAGGAGCTACAGTTACAGTCCTCCACCAAGGGGTTATGGAAGGAGAGGTCGTAGTCCAAGCCCTGGAGGTCGCTATGGTGGCAGCAGGAGAGATCTTTCAACAAGCCTTCTAGTTCGGAACCTGCATCCTGATTGTAGGTTTGTTCATATGAACTATTTATGCAAGGCCATATTTAGTACTTGAGGCAATCTTTACCTTTTTGAGAAATCTGAAGACAACTTTAGTTCTCCTATCTTTTACATACTTGATTTATTTGACCTATTTTCACCAGTACCTTGTCTTTAAATACAAATATTAGGATGCACACTTTACATTGGTAGAAGCAGATAGAGATAGAAATGACTGTTTGTATGCATCAGATCAGATATTACTTATGTTTTTGTTGAAATTCTGTATAAAGCTTGTGGCATTTTTTGTTTATATTAACATTGGATGATTTTAGGATACGGAAAAGGTTGATACCTCCGCTTTGTATTTCCGCAAGAGTACATGTTTAAGACTAGTTTGGTGATTGTTAGATGTGCATCTGGAGATCTTCTGGATATTGAAAGTGTTGGGCTGTATGAGTATGAACGAGGTTGGTACATTCTCTTTGACCTTTTGACTTGTAGCATGGAGCTTTCCCCTTCTGGGCTAATCATGGAGCCATTGACTAAGAAAAACCAGTCTCTTAGACATGCTACAAGTTGAGGAATCCAGATGGAGACAGTTTAACTATACAGTCCTCATACCTGATGCCTTTGATAATTAGGAAGCCTGCCTGATTCCTTCTCCGAGCTTCTCAATTGACTGATTGGCCATTAAAAATGATGGAGATGAAGAACACTGATTGATCATCCGAGAAGCATTGAGAAAAGAGGGCTTAGAAACTTCACACTTCTCAAGGTTTGAAGATTCACACTTCTCAAAACTCTTTCACTTTAGAAGGATCCTAAGTCTGCATCATGGCGTATGATTCATTCACCGGACAATGTCGTATTGTGATTCAAATACATGTTGTTGGACATGTCAATTCCCAAAATCCTTGTTAGGGTTGGAAAGACCTATTATGGAGATGGACTAGTCTAATTTATCTATTGATAAAAAAGATTAAACATCTTTGAGTCCAAACATATTTAGCCATATATTCAAGTAACAAATTTTCCAATGTAGTACTGTATCTCATTTCTTTTTGCTAATCCAAAGCTAGACTTGAATTGAATAGACGTGAGGCAATCCTAGTAGACCGCAACTTAATGTCTAATAGAGAAAATGTCTCAATTAACAGTTAATACTTCACAGAGGATCAAAGTCACAACACAACCAAGTGTGGTGGCATGTACACCCAAGGGAGTTCTAACCCGTGTTGTACCAAATTATCAACTCGCACATGTAATCCCATGTGTGCTTCAGTCACTTTGAGCCTTAATCCTCGTAAGCAAATGCCCAAAGAAAACAAAGAATCCAACCGAAGGACCATCAATATTTGCTCTAATTTTATGACAAATCACCAACATAAACAAAATGGTCACATGTAAAATAAAAAATAAAGATTTAAAAACACAAATGATAGTGTTCTTTGGCTTTTAGCCTACATCCCCTAGTGAAAGAGTAAAACTTCATTATTAAATGATCAGTAAAGGGTGAAGAGATCTCCATTTCTTATGCCAAATTATGTCTCAAGTATCACATGCAATGCCCTCAGACAATCTCTGAATCTTATAGAAAGAACCAATTAGAGAGCCTAATTAAATTTACATGAAGTGCAAGGTGTTACACATATGAGAAATCTGGCTTTAGAGGCTTGTTGTTTCAAGAGTCATGGCCAATTGCCATTTTGGTAGGAGTAAGATTCTAATAACATCAATTTAGTTGTCAGCTGTATGTTGACAAAGAGTCAATACCAACCTTGATCCAAATAACCCTTGGATTCAAATAACCTTGTCCTTATATTTACTACCAACAGGGTTCATAGTGCTTATCCCCTGTAACCACCTTTAAAATATGTCAAATCTGTAGAAATCACCTTTCAGTTTTTTTATACATAAATCACCATATAAGTGACTTTAGCTTTCAATCAACCGCACGAGGACAATGTTTGTTCAACTTTTACCCCTAAATGCCGAAAATACCTTCCTCCCTTCTCCCCCTCATCCACCCAACACCCACCTCCACCCTTCTCCCTACTCCCTCACCTCCGCTCTCATTCTCCATTTAAACCTGGTTGAGATGGGGAGGAGGGAGAAGGGTGAGATGGGACGAAAAAGAAATGGAGGATAGGTGGAAGAGGAGGGAGGAAGATGAAAGTGAAATGGAGAAGATAGGAGGAGAAGTTGTGGAGGAGGAGAGCGAGAAGGGTAGATGGAGCAGGAATAAGCATGGATGATGGATGGTGGAGAAGAATGGCGGAAATGGGACCGAGGAGGAAGAGGGCGGAAATAGGATGGAGGAGGAAGAGGGCAGAGGTAGGATGGATGAGGAGAGACAAGGGAGAAGGATGGTATTTTGGGCATTTCGGATAAAAGAACAAAAATTGTTCTGTGGTGGTTGATTGAAAGCTAAATCCACTTACAATGTGGTTTCTTTATAAAAAACTTGGAAATGTGGTGTTTACCAATTTGGCCTATTTTAAAGGTGGTTTTTATGAAAATACCCAAATTAGTATTCTTATAAGACCTTGCATAAAACTGACCAACTTAACACTGACTCGGTCTCAAACAAGAAGCTCCCATATAAGTACCGACCAAAGTGAACAAGGTTCTAGGTTATTTTGATCTCTAATTAGTGTCACAAAATAATAGATCTCCTCATTTACTCAAATTCACATGAAACACCCCGCTCTAAAATTTGCTAGCTTCTCCCCAAGAGCCGCATCAAGTGTAATACATAACAATCAATTCAAAATAGTGCTTGAACTTGACAACTGATGGAGAATTTGTCAACATATGGGCAAATTGTCCGTGAACTAAGCACTTTCCTTGGTCACAGCTGACCGATTAGACGATACGATGACGACTACCATCGTACACCACAAAGTGGGATGTTAAGAAGTTTAACTTTGTATCAATTCCTCAAAGTGGAATGTTGAGAACCTTAACTCTGATATCAATTTCAACGGAAATGGGACAAAGGAGGAAGAGGGCGGAAATAGGATGGAGGAGGAAGAGGGCAGAGGTAGGATGGATGAGGAGAGAGAAGGGAGAAGGATGATATTTTGGGCATTTCGGATACAAGTTGAACAAAAATTGTTCTGTGGTGGTTGATTGAAAGTTAAATCCACTTACAAGGTGGTTTCTTTATAAAAAACTTGGAAATGTGGTGTTTACCAATTTGGCCTATTTTAAAGGTGGTTTTTATGAAAATACCCAAATTAGTATTCTTATAAGACCTTGCATAAAACTGACCAACTTAACACTGACTCGGTCTCAAGCAACAAGCTCCCATATAAGTACCGACCAAAGTGAACAAGGTTCTAGGTTATTTTGATCTCTAATTAGTGTCACAAAATAACGGATCTCCTCATTTACTTAAAAATTACATGAAACACCTCGCTCTAAAATTTGCCATCTTTCTCCTCCAAGAGCCGCATCAAGTGTAATACATAACAATCAATTCAAAATAGTGCTTGAACTTGACAACTGATGGAGAATTTGTCAACGTATCGGCAAATTGTCCGTGAACTAAGCACTTTCCTTGGTCACAGCTGACCGATTAGACGATACGATGACGACTACCATCGTACACCACAAAGTGGGATGTTAAGAAGTTTAACGTTGATATCAATTCCTCAAAGTGGAATGTCGAGAACCTTAACTGTGATATCAATTTCAGCCTATGGAAAGTATGCATCAGTGTTATTGAGGCGCAAAGCGCAATGCGGGGCGCAAAGGTCCCTTACGCGCACCATGCGCAAAGCGCACAACAAGGCGCGCGCCTCACTAATTGAGGCGCATAACTCAAACTATTATTTACCAACATCATAAGACAGAAACATATAAGCAACATATTAGTTACCTACATCCAAAATTATGAGAATATCAACTTAAATCATCAAATTATGCTAACTGAATTTTTAAAGTAATAAAAAAGATACAAGAAACATGTATTTAAATCATCAAATTAAGTGATTAACAATTATGAGCATATGTTTATAAATTGTCACATAAAAGACTAAGAAATATAATTAACAAACATGACTGTTCATAATTTTCTAGTTAGTATTCTTAATTGATATTTGCTACTTAGCATGAAAAGATGAAGAATGAATGTAACAATTACATATTTACATGTTTATAATTTGCTAGTTAGCATGCTAATTAGAGAATGAAGTTACAATTAGCAAACAAGTATACTAAATTACTAATTATTGTTTCCTTTTTATAGGTTAAACATGAAAAGATGAAAATAGATTAGCAACTAGTAAGAAAGAGTATATTACATGATATAAATATGTAATTATGTAAATTATTTAAAAAAAATAGAAGAAAGAGTATGTTACATAACGCAGGTGTGAGGCGCACGTGAGGCGCGCGCGAGGCGCACGCGAGGCGCACGCGAGGCGCGAGCGAGGCGCGAGCGAGGCGCAAGTGAGGCGCACGCGAGGCGCGCGCCTCGCTGCGTGCAGCGCCCCGCCTCGCGTGCGGGGCGCATTTCCCCCAGGCCGAAGCGCCCCGCGCCCGGGCCGAGCGCATTTCTATTTGATGGAATCTCATCGCTATTTTGACACGACGGATTTAGAATGGCTTTATTCAGGAAGTTGAAGAAAATAGCTATAGTGTCTGAAGAGGATCGGGGTGAGTTAGATGATAAACTGTCACTGCAATATGATCATCTTTAACGAACGAAGTTTTACGAGTTCTTATAATAGATCAACAGCTGACATGTGGCCAAGTTGGAGGATTTCTATTTGATGGAATCTCATCGAGATCACACCAAATTAAGTGTACACGTATGCACACGAGGGATCTAACACCGTGTTGGACAAAATTGTATAACTAGCATATGTAACTTCGCATGCGCTCCACGTTGAGCCCCAACTCATGTGAAAAAAAAGTCTTGAGACGAACAAATCTCCAACAAAGGTCTATCAAACCATGTGCTCTGTTAGGGTTGCGAAGACCCATTAATGGAGATGGATTATGTCAATCTACTTGGACCCAATTGACTCAAAAGGATAAACCCTAATTGAGTCATGGGTCCTAGTATATTTTAACCATATATAAATCTAACTCTTAACTCGTTGCAAATTTGGGGCTAAATCTCGCCTCATGTTTTTTGCTAAATCAAACCTACACTTAAATCGAATGGATGAGAGCCACTCCTTGCAATACCAACCGGACGACATTACTAGATATGCATGTTTATGTTATATGCACATGCATATATACACACAGATGTACCAATTAATCACGATAGTGAAAAATAAAAACATGTATGCATGGATGTGCAGATGTACCTACCAATAACATTGATTAAAAACCATTTCATATATGTGCAGCCATGCGGATATACATATCCTTGAGCACACTGTTAGTCATTAATTTAAACTGATATGTGCTGATTTTTCCCAGTATTTCATTAGTCATCCTGTGAATTATGTTGTTCATTGTCTCCTGTTAGTTCCTGCTCTACGTGTAAGGATAAAATCATTTTTTCACTGTGCTGTCAGGATAAAGATCAGTGAGCAATTTGCTTTGCTAAGTCTCATTGCCTTTCCTTATGTTTACTGCATATAAGATTGATGAGCAGTTTATAGAGCAGAAGTAGAACCTCAACTACTAATGATACAAGATAATCTTCTTGGTCTTAAATTGGAATCCCAGTTTTGTCTGACATGCATATTATGTGCTCCTTCGGTGTTTAATGTAGATGCATGATATTATACATCACTTTCTTCGATGGTTTATGATTGCAGGCCTGAAGATCTTCGCAGGCCATTTGGACAATTTGGTCCTTTAAAGGACGTCTATCTGCCGCGTGATTACTATACAGGGTAAGCTGGTTGTTCAGTTTTCTTCCTGTCGGCCTATTGGTGTAAAATATATAAGTGATTTCTCGTTCTCTGTTAGTCTTCTTCCACTTTTTCCCTATTATCTTGTATTTGTTGATGCATTTAATTTTATGCGACTTTCCTATTCCGTTTCCTTTTTTCATATTTATTTATGTATTTTCTAAAACATTGCAGAGATTGATGTGTTTATTCAGTTGTTGTTTTCTGATTTTTTTTCTTACTAGTTGAGATGCACGTGCAATGCACGTGGTTGAATATCATGATTATTTAAATTGATAACAATAGAGTAAAAATAAAAAAAAATAAAGTTTTTTTATGGGATTGATCAACAACTCAATAATCTCTCTTAAATAAAATATTATTATTGTTTCCTTCAACCCAGACTGTGGCTACGTGATCTACTACTTGTGAGTTATAAACACATTAATCTAATACAACACATCTATTTATTAGTATCTTGAAGTCTTCAAAAGATGAGTGATCATTCAATTTGTAAAAAAAATTTGCATATGAATTCACTTGCAATATGTCCATTAAACTTTTAGTTGGGGTTTGACTCATTCACAATAACTTTTAGTAATTATTTCACTCATATTTATATTATCTAATATTCTCATTCAATTTTATAGCTGATTCTCTGTATCATAGAAGTAAAATTGAAAGTATGAAGAATTATTTTCTTACGAAATTAGAATAAGAAGATTATGATAGATTTCGCTATGTGCTCTAAATATAAATTTTTTTTTGATACAAGGTCCCTATCAAATCTTACCCTAAACGATGTGAATAAAAAATACTATTAGAACTCACTTGTCTAGGAATTATATTTTATATAGGATACATAACTCTTCTGGTATATCCATATCTGTTAAGTGGATTTTGTTATTGTGAGAGCAACATGTTAGATGTTCGTATTCAAACTTTTTAACTCTGTAAAAGATACAAGAATTTGGAGTGCATAGCTTATATATCGTAACGAACATATTGATTCATGAAGAATTTTTCCTAATAACGATATTATTACATCGATATTACTATATATGACATTTTAAAATAAATTATAAAGTATATATATTGAAACCTCAATGCTTATAGTCAGTAGTTGGGCTCCACAAAATATGTTAACTTTACATTGTAGTTTGCTATTTATAGTATTGTTGGCAATGTCATTACCTTTCCTTTTTATCTTATTATTCACACTTTTTTGATGTTAGTTTTCTTTTGCTAATCACTCAATTGGCTATATTTAGTTTTTATAATATCAGAGGTTGAATATTCTCTTCTACTTAAGAAGTGTTGATATAATTTTTTAAAATAATATATACACATAGTAGCAATAGTATATACTTCAGTTCAACTCAAAAATTGGTTTGAAGCCATTTAGAATGAGGTCCTTTCTACACTAAAATAGTGATATAGTGATTACAGAGTCTAAAAGTCAAAGAAGAAATTTCTACAAAGAAAAAATAATTTAATGTGTTAAATTAAGAAGTAATTTGTAAATTATACATAGACAGTGCAGATAGCTATAAAAAGTAATGTATATATCTTCATAAAAACTTCATAGTGAGTGACCAACTATAATCATCCTAATTTAAACATAATTAATTATTTTTTTAGTTACTAATTTGATACGCTTAACTATGAAATAAATCTCCAGCAAAAATAGAAATTGATATTGTATTATACTGTAGGTAAATAAATAAATGTTATTAGAACTCCTCTTTATATTAAAATTTAAAAGTAATAATTTAAATTATTAAGCATCAAATATTAGCTCATGTGAGAAATTAAAGTAATCTATGGTCTATATACATTTATAGTCAATCAATCAAACGTATTAAATTTATGATGACCATAGTCAAAATTATATGGTGGGTTCACATTAAATATAATTTATAAAAAAATAGTACATTAAATCAAAAACTTTTTAACCACTATATAGATTATCTGAAATTTTTTACATATATAAACTATATTGTCTAGGAATAGTGATGTGCGCACTTAACTATGGTCTAATAATCTTATCGTCATTGTTTCTTTCAATCCAGTCTGGTCTACTATTTATGAGTTATAAACATATTAATCTAGTACAACATCTCTATTTATTAGTATCTTGATGTCTTCAAAAGATGGGTGACCATTCAATTCGTAAAGGAATTTTTATATAAAATTTTTGCCTATATAAATTACACTGCCTAGGAACAGTGATGTGTTGTACACTTAACTATAGCCTAATAATCTTAAGAACGACTTATTTTTTAATATCATCATTAATTAACGTATTTATGCATTACACTAAAAACCTATGATGCACAGATACGGATACGGGACACGGATACGATACAGACACGGATACGGGATACGGCAAAATCCAAAAAAATAGGATACGGGGATACGGCAAGGAATTTTTTAATTATTATTATATATAGAAAATTTATAAAATTCAACTAGCAATCTAAAATATGAATCTATCACAAAGTAACAAGTTTGTAAACAAAAGGAATTGAAGAAAATACTGATTCTATCACAAAATAACAAGTTTGCATACAAAAAAGAATTAGAGTACATACTCATTCTATCACAAAATAAAAAGTTTGTAAACAAAAAGTACATCAAGATGAAGTGGAAGCTAGTCCGGTGACTTTTTTTCTAATTATACTAATTAATAAATTGTTGCTAACTGACTTTGTTTTTCTTTTTGCATATTATACTTGAGAGTTAAGTAGCAACGAGCAATAATAAAGGATCAATTACAAATAGACCTATTGTAGTTTTATGTTTGCAATTGGCAAACACACCCAAAGTGAATTTTTTGACGCTGAAGATCAGTAAAAAGGTTTGTGGGAGGCTGATAGACCCCTCAAGTGCTAAGTTTTTGGCTTTAAGAAGATTGCAAAATCCACCAAGGGATCCATTAGCCATAAATAGAATTATATAGGATCTATATGTAATTGGATGGTACTAGGGGGGCTTTGCAATTAATCTTACACGCAAGTACGCAAATGTCTCAATTAATTACCCACAAATTTCCCAACAATAGGACTTCATGATGTACTAAAATTCAGTATAAGCAAAAACCATTAGATAAAGTATCAAACTAAGGAGTAAAAACTTTGATTTTTACTGAGGTTAACATTTGCAATCATCATCCCTCTTTAATAAAAACGAAAATTGTATTTTAAAAAAATAAACCAATTTCTGTAATTAAAAAATAAAACTAAACAAATTGAGAGATTGAGGCTGTACAATTTCTGTAATTAAAAAAATAAAATTGAAATTTACCGTAATCTCTCTCAATTGAGGTTGTACAGTTAGCTGAAGAGTGAACTTGAAGCCCCAAGCCGCATAAATAAAAAAATATATAAGTCTTATCAAAAAAAGTTAAGCGGCTGAGAGATTGAAGCCCCAAGCCGCATAAATAAAAAAATATATAAGTCTTATCAAAAAAAGTTAAGCGGCTGAGAGATCGGAGATTGAGAGAGAGAGAGAGACGGAGATTGGGACAGATCGAGAGAAAGAGAGAGAAGATGAAAGAACGAGAGAGAGAGAGACGAGAGAGAGAGAGAAGACGAGAGATCGAGAGATCGAGAGAGAGTAAGAGATCAAATCGAGAGAGACAGAGAGACCAGAGACCGAGACAGAGATCTTACCGAGCGCGGGACGAGCACGAGCTCTGATCTCCGCGAGGGCAAGCGACGAGCATGAGACGAGGGCGAGCGACGAGCAAGAGACGAGCACGAGCACGAGGAGATGGATGAGCACGAGCTCTGATCGACGGCGAGCGACGAGCACGAGGCGAGGACGAGGAGATGGATGGATGAAGACGAGGAGAGCGCTCAGAGCGGCGGGACTGAGGACCTAAGGTAAGTGAAGAATGAAAATTAGGGTTTACCTTTACCTTTTGGTTTGGGTTTCGGGTTCGGGTCGTCTTCAGCGCTTTTCTTTCTTTTTTACCTGCGAATCCAAGCCGTGTCCAGGCTCTCTTTGACCGTATCCTCCTTAGCTTGACCATTGACCCGTGTCAGACACGGGTTAACTGTGTCTGACTCAGACACGGGTTGACCGTGTCTGACACGTGTCTTGCACGTGTCGGGACGAATCCGTGTCTGATTCGTGTCAGACACGGATTCGTGACCCCTGGGGGAGTATCCGTGCTTCATAGCTAAAAACACAATAAAAATTTAGAAAACTACAAAAGAAACACCCTAAAAAATTTAAAAATTATAAAAAATACCCTAAAATTTTGTAATTTACAAATACACAAAACTATTAAATATTACATTGAAATCAAGAAATTACAAAAATCATTAAAAAATTTCAAACTTTGGAGATTTGCAATGTGCTAAACTTTAAGGGTGTTTTCTCTATAAATTTAAAATTTAATAGATTTTTAATCATTTATGTTCTTTTTAAAAAAGTTACGGGTAGTTTTGACCATTAAAGGTTTTACCTAAATCTATACTTTTAAAGTGAGTATGATATTTTTTGTAAAATTTTAGTTTTCTAGGGGTTAGTAATTTTGTATATTCATTTTTGTGTCCATAGGTTAGAAATTCTCATGGTATTTTTTATAAATTATGAATTTTAGGGGTTTTTTATAATTTTTTAAACTTATAAGCCTTTTCTACAAATTGTAAATTATTTATAGACTATTTATAATTCATATGCTTTCAATTTACTAATGAGTTTGAAATTCTCATGGTGTTATTTATAAATTTTAAATTTTAAGGTTTTGTTTGTAATTTTTGAAACTTCAAAGGTGTTTTCTTTAAATTATAAATTATGTAGGGGATATTTGTAATTCCTATATTTTCAATGCACTATTAGGTTAGAAATTATCATAATTTTTATAAATTTACAATTCTGAGGGTTTTATTTTACAATTTATAAAAAGTTCAGTGTGTTTATTGTAAATTCCATAAATTTTTGGGGGTTGTTTGTGTTATTTGTAGGTTTTTAGAGTGTTTATAAGTTTGAAATTTTGAAGGTGTTTTTTATAAAATTTGAACTTTTAGGGGTGTTTTTGTAATCTTTAAAACTTACAAGATATTTTCTCCAAAGTTAAAAAACTTTTAGTTTCTAGCTAGCATATATATTTTTAGATTTCTCACTGAATTGAAATTTTAAAAAACTTACAAGATGTTTTTATAATTTTCAAGATATTATAATAAAATTTTAAATTTGCAGGGGTGTTTTTGTAATTTTAAAAAAACTTAGAGGATTTTTTTTACAAAGTCCAAAAATTTTTAAATATGATAAATCATTTTATCCAATAACATGATAAGTCTCATTTTAAATATGATAAATCATTTAGTTACTAATTCAAAGAAGATAAGATAATTAGAATAGATTAGGATAACAATGTAATATTTAAAAAAGTTGAGGGTAATACTAACCATGAAAAGATTTTTCCGAACTCGTACTTTTAAAGGGAGTATGAAAGTGAGATCGTCAGATTTTGTTTATTTTTATTATTAATGTTATGCATTCTGTCTAGGCTTTTCCCTTTGTTACATTTTTAGTTGGTTTACTGTGTATGTGGCTTGCATTCAGCAGTTTATTTTTTTTAATCTTAATTTGAACTCGCATATTATTTTGTAGGGAAGTTTTGTTACATTTTTAGTTAGTTTACTGTGTATGTGGCTTGCGGTCAGCGGTTTATTTTTCTATCTCAAATTGATGTTGCATATTATTTTTAAGGGAAATGGCTTGCTTATTAATTAAAAGGTATAAACTGATTAGGGATTCATTTATCTAATCTTTTAGCTAGAATGTCTGTCAGTTAGAACCGTTTGGGCCATACCCTGGCTTTTAAATTGTTTAAATAGTCGAGTCTTGGGTATACGTAGTGCCAACTTTTTATAGGCCAAATTTGGACTACTAAGAAGAATCGGACACAAATTCAGACCTCTGTATGCCTTGTCAAACTCAGTCCATTGCCGCTCATTTGTCCCCGCAAACGAACTTAACGTTCAGGGTATTTTTGTGGCCAACCCAGGTTCATCATGGGACATAGAGTGCCTACATGTAGAAAATTATAGGTTCCTCACAATCTACATTTGTGTCAAGGAAATCGATGGGGGTCATCTGATCATGGTCTAATAATTCATGTGTTGATCTAGATGAATTTCGTGCTATCACTTGTTAGCAGCCCACCACGTAATTTGGTTTGTGAGATCAGACTTTAAGTTTGTACTTAAGCACGATGTAGCGTTTACTTCTTATGGAAGTATGTAGTAATATACTATTCTTTTTAGATTTGAAAAACTTTTATGGCAGTGGCTGTACGAAACTGTACTTTTATGGTTCCAAACCTTGAATAGTTATTCTCCACTGGGGGCAGTTGACAGTTGACCATCTATAATTGCTTCTGAATTGCTTATTGAATATTTTTATCAAGGTTTTGGGATTTAACAGTGAAACATTGAGTTTGAAGATATCAGCCAAGTCTTGGTCCCTGGTAGTGGCATGTGGGATGGGAAGAAGTTGGGTTGAAAGTTACACATTATGAAGATATTCAAGTCTTGAAGAAGAATTTGAAGTCAACTTTTATACCCAATTCAAAATTCAGGTCAGCGACCAAGTGAAGTATCAAAAGTACTTCCTTGCATACGGCCTTCCAGTTTTCTCAGTTTAGCAATATCTTTGTGACAGTCCCATGGATGTTAGTTAGTAAGTCAATATACTAACATTGTTCTTAATTTGTGTTGAAGAGAGCCTCGAGGATTTGGTTTTGTCCAGTATGTAGACCCTGCAGATGCGGAGGAAGCCAAGTATGAAATGGACAGGCAGATATTTTTCGGCAGGGAGTTGACTGTTGTATTTGCAAAGGAGAGCAGAAAGAAACCAGCTGAGATGAGGGCTAAGGAAAGAACGAGGTATGTATGTGACCACGTGTCCACAGTCATGTTCGGTTTTGTACTTGTGCGACGAGCATTTGTTATCTACTATGTAGCTGCCTAATTAATGAGGACAAGAAATGACAATATTTGGTTAGTTAATATATTTTTGAATTTTGAACTCTAAAATTTGAATTTTGAATTTTGAAATTTAAAATTTGAATTTTGAATTTTGAAACTTAAAATTTAAAATTTGAAATTTAGTTTAATTTTAGTTGAGTGATTTGAGGGATTGTTGTTTGTTTCTATTTTTATTGCACGTTGTGTGCACGTAGTTTTTTTTTTATAAATAAGGTTGTATGAGACTATTAAAAATCAATGAATTATTGAATGAAAAATTGCATTAGCTAAAATCTGGTGTGAAGCCTCGGGTGTGAAACCTAGGCCTCGGGTGTGAAACCCTAGGTCGTTCCCTGTGTCCTCTTCCTCCAGTCGCCAAGCATTCCCTCGTCTTCCCCACGTCAACAATCAGGCAAACCCTCATCTTCCTTGCAACCACCAGATCCACACTCAGCTCGCCCCTGATCTCCACCTCCGCACCATCAGCGCCATCATCTCCTCCCAAGCAGTCGCCCTACTCCCACTGTCACCGAGCCTCCTTTCCCAACAACTGCCGCCTTCATGTACACCAACTGTTTGGCAAAATTCTCCACCAGAACAATACTACCACAGCCGCTTACCACAAATCATCACATCGCTATCGTCCCGTCAACCTTACCGACGCCGTCACTCTAGTCGCTGCTCAGAATCGCCGACACCTTCGTCGTTCAGATTCGTCACCACGTCGTCATTAGTTCAACACCGTTGCACTCGTCGTCGTCAGATCTCCGCCTCGTCGTCGTCGTTCAGTTCACCGTTGTCGTCGCCCCACCTCTAGAGGTCTCTCACGTCGAGTTTGTTCAGACCGACGAAGGTTTCCTTTTCTTTCGTCCCTTATTTTTCTGTTGATTTTATTTTGTTAGTTAATTGCATGAATAATACATCTCTAAACTCTTATCATATATTCACTGTTTAAAGTATAATTGTGACTTGAGAGAAACTGAACATGTGATTGTTAAAACTTGATATTGATTGTAAAACTTGTGCAATGATAATGAATATTGCAATTAAATTATTCGAGATTGGGATTGTTTATGACTGTCGATGCAAATCTTATTAAAATCCATCTGTCACATTAATTGTTTTTAAATTAATTTCCTACCGAATATTATGAATTTTGGCGAAACGGTGTTTTGTTCAAATTAGATCGCTGATTCCGATAGACCCTCTCCCCCGTTTCGCATCACTAATTCTGACCGTATACTACATTTATATAGGAGCCGATCATATGATTATCGGTCACCACCAAGACATTCCCGCTCCCGTTATTCCCGATCCCCATCACCCCGTTATTCCTGTTCGCCATCACCTAGATGGAGAGGTTATTCAAGGTATTGTTTTGCGTTACGAGTTTATCAAACTATGCACTGCTTCACATTTTTTCTTTGAATCATTTGCAGATCTGTTTCTCCCCGAGATGGAAGGTATTATCGCGGTCGGTCTCGCTCTTATTCTCCTTCCTACAGAAGGTCAAGGAGCAGGAGTGAAGAATATGCAAGGAAGCGACGTCACAGAGAAAGGTCTCTTTCAGTAAGCCAGTAAGCTGGTAGCTGGTAGATATCTAAGCAGCAGTGATGTTGTTGGTTCTCTACTACATTCTTATATTTGAATTTAGTAGCATATAATGTACGCCAATGACTGGGAGTTGTTACGCATCGTAATTCGTAAGTGTGGAACTTGGCTTTTGAGTCCCTAGTATATGGTATCGGTCAATATCTTTTATCAGTATAATTGAGCTGTGATAGCTTTGATTCATTTTCTGTGATTCTGTTCGGAGTTTTCTTTGATGTATATAAGACCTGACTTTCCCCCTCATCTTCCCTTCTTGGGTAACGAATTCAGTTGTTGGATTTAAGGCCTATTTTCTCCTCCCATCAATATTTATCGATTCGGTGGCTTGGTCTTGATTACTTGTAGGATTACTGTGTTGTAGTTTCTCAGTCTTGGTCTTGATTACATCGAGAAGGTAGCTACCTCAAATTACCTAGAACGTCACTTTGTTTGAGTGGATTCCAGGAGGGCGGTAGATTAGTCGTCACCTTCGCATAGTTTCTGGTTGATCTCTACAGTGCTGTAGCTGCTCGTATCGCCTTCCCTCTTGAGCGTTTGCGGGCTACACATGTAGATGCCTAGACCTTTCAGAATGTTTGGTTTCGTATTTTCGATTCTTCATGATTTGAACCAATTTATCGGGTTTTCAACGTTAGCGTTGCTTGACGATGGGGCAACGTGCGGTCAGGACTGAAGCGCATCGAGCTGTATTTTTTTTCGCTGGGGCAGCTGAGTACAAAATTTTGTCAGTATGTTGCAGATAGTAGCTGTCCGTCTCTTTATGATGGAGGAGGATCACTCTTGTATGATTCAGGGCACGGTGGGCACCCCATTTATATGAGCGTGTGGATCGTACACATTCCAGATCCAATTATGCAAGTGGATAACGCATTATGCAGCGGGTTGTACCTAACATTTAATGTAGTCGATCCTCACCTCAACAACCAAGGACCTTAAGCTCAATATATTCGATGTTTTTTGTTAGGCTCCAACCCAGCGTCATTTGCAGCGCTATTTTAGCGGTGATGAACAGCGCGACGCCATATTTGGCGTCGCACTGTTCATCACCGCATTACTGTTCATTTATTAATTTTTTTAACCTTATACTTTTATGTATTTACAATTTGACCCCAATTGTTTTATTAAATGTATAAAACAATCCCAATAATATTTAAATTTTATAATTTTATCTAAATTGTATAATTTGGACAAAATAAATTATTTTTTAAAATTAAAAATAATGCTAAAATTTAAAAGACATTATTATTAATTATAATATTAAAATCTAGATATTAAGTAAAGTCCCATGAAATATAAAGAGCAATCCTAATACATAATTCAAATATAAATTACATATCTGAAATACATAACATATAAAAACTGACAAGCATAATATAAAACTTCGTTAAAATAAAACATAAAATACAAACTAAACATGGAACATTTCCTGAGATGGACAAGCAACTCTCAATAATCTGGTAGATCGACGCCAGAGTGTCCAATATCATTGAAATAATTGCCAAAATTAGAAGCAGACCCTTGTTCTTGTTGATTTCTTTTTTGTATTATTTTAATCTGTTGAGCTCGAACGTACTCACGCACGTTTGGATCAGCAATGGAATTCAAATCTTTCATTATAATTTTCCATTCATCTCTATCTTTTTTCATGGCTATCTTTTCTCGTTCGATATCAAACGCTACTTGCCTGTCCAAGCTCGCCTTGTCTAACCTGTCTATAAGTCGGTTGCTGGAGGTCTCGATGGAGTTCACTACACTTGACTCATGATCATCATTTTTCCTTTTCAATTTAGCTTTTTTTACCCCAATAGGTTGTCCAGATGGAGTAAATGATGACAGTCCAGGAGATGTTGATATAGGAGATTCCGGAGTGGGATTATCTGATTGTGACGAGTCGAAGTTCACACTTTGGGATTGTCTTCGACCAACTTGTCTTGCTGTGGGGACATCATCTTTGAATTTTTTGAAATTTTTAACCATATTCCAGACATGATCAAATTTGAAACCGTTTTTGTACTTTGGTTCTTGCATAAATAACATCTTTGCTCGAACTAACTGCAAATTATAGTGAACATCAAGTTATGTATTTCAACAATAATAATAAAATTCAGATGATAATTAATAGAATACTTACAATATCTTCATCTGAAGCACCACTTGGATTCAGATTCTCTACTTGTCTCAAGCACGCATTCAATTTCCTTACTTCATTACTTATGATTTCCATTCGAGAACGAATTGATCGGCTCGTACGCATCTCAAAATGCTGATATCGAAGTTCATTGTATTTGTCCTCCACACGAGACCAAAATGCATCTCGAGACTGGTTTCTACCGATAATAGGGTCTTGAGAAATATCCAAGAATACTTGACAAATGAGCACATCTTCAGTAATAGTGTATCCAGTTGATCGAACAGACATTTTTTTGTAAAAAGCGGTTGGTTTGGAGATCAGAAATACTTTGAAGAATTACTTCGAATTGGGTGGTTTGAAGTAGAATTCGTGAATGTTATTTATAGCCAATCGAAATTTGTTTTTTGTTGTTTGAATTTGAATTTGAATTTAAATTTGTCGGTGGTCAACATTTGAAATTGAATCATTTTGTACAAACTGATCAGCTTTACACATTATCTAATGTTGTCGGTGGGAATCAATTTTTGAAATCAGGTCAGGTTTACACATTGTCCAACGTATACACAGCTCAGCTCTCCTTGAATTGTGTGAAAGCTTTGTACGAGTGGGAATCAATTTTTGAAATCAGGTCAGCTTTACACATTGTCCAACGTATACACAGCTCAGCTCTCCTTGAATTGTGTGAAAGCTTTGTACGAGTGGGAATCAATTTTTAAAATCAGGTTAGCTTTACACATTGTCCAACGTATACACAACTCAGCTTTCCTTAAATTGTGTGAAAGCTTTATACGAGTGGGAATTAATTTTTGAAATCAGGCCAGCTTTACACATTGTCCAACATATACAGCTAAAAGCAAATTTGAATTTTGTGACAAATTGATAACAGCTAGAAAGCATTTCCTAAAATCAGCTCAACTTTACACATTGTTCAATGTATACAGCTAAGCAAAGTTTTATAAATAGCATACTAGATTAGGTACATCCACACAATTACTCGTTGTTGTGTTAAAATTATTATTCTCCATTTCTGCATACTTCAGTCATTCTTTTCTTACTTCAAAAATGAATTTCGATGTTGGAGGTCCATCATACTTATCATCATCTTCATCTTCGGATGATGATAATTTTCTGTCCAATATCATTGCAGAGATTGATGAAACCGAAGAAGTAATTTGTGAGTACATCAACAACAACATGATCCTCGTTAACAATTTACGTCAACACAACTACCAACCGATCCATGGTGGCTCGATTCCCGGTCATGCAGTGATCAACCGCGATCGAGAAAATGCGCATCAGAATTTGGTCATAGATTATTTTGCCGATAATCCACGTTTTGGAGAAGATATGTTTCGTCGTCGATATCGGATGTCAAGAAGTTTGTTCCTTCGTATTGTTGATGCAGTGAAAGATCATGACTATTACTTCCAACAACGAAGTGATGGACTTGGTAGAATGGGATTATCACCGTTACAGAAAGTAACAGCTGTTTTTCGCATGTTGGCATACGGTCTACCAGCTGATGCTACGGACGAATACGTTAAAATAGGTGAGTCAACAGCAATTGAAAGTATGACAAAATTTTGTCGTGCTATGGTGGAAATATTCGCAGAGCGGTATCTACGAACACCTAACGCTAACGATATTGCTAGGCTACTCTATATTGGAAAAAAACGTGGTTTTCCAGGAATGTTAGGAAGTCTTGATTGTATGCATTGGAAATGGAAAAATTGTCCAACAGCATGGTCTGGGCAATACACAGGACGTAGTGGGTCACCAACTATTATCCTCGAAACTGTGGCAGATTATGATCTTTGGATATGGCACGCATATTTTGGTATGCGAGGCACCAATAATGATATCAATGTGCTGGAGTCATCTAATCTTTTCTCTAACCTAGCTCAAGGTATTGCTCCTCCCGCTCACTATGTTATTCAAGGAAAAGAGTATAATATGAGTTATTATTTAGCTGATGGTATATATCCGAAATGGGCTACTATTGTACAAACAATCCAACAGCCACAAGGTAGGAAGAAAAAATATTTTGTCATGAAACAGGAAGCATGTAGAAAATATGTAGAACGTGCGTTCGGAGTTCTCCAATCACGATTTGCAATTGTGGCAGAATCAGCACGTTTTTGGAAAAAACATGTATTACATGACATATAATGACTGCATACATTATTATGCGCAATATGATAATCGAGGATGAACGTGATCTTTATGCACCAATTCAAGAAGTGAGTGAAGCACCAACACCAGAAGTTGATATGGTAGCAGATGAAACTACAAGATTTACTCAATTTATTGCACGTTACGGAAAAATCAAGGATAAAGATGCCCATATTGCGCTTCGTAATGCATTGATAGATCATCTATGGGAGGAATACACTAATTCAGATAGTTAAGTGCATACTAAATTTGTAATTTTTACATTGTTGTTAATGTTTAATTATTTTCTTGTATTTTATTTTCTGTTGTGTTCTTGAATGTAATATTTTGGCAATATCAATAATAAAAATATAATATTTTAGCAATCAAGTTTGAATGTAATATTTTGGCAATATCAATAATAAAAATATAATATTTTAGCAATCAAGTTATTTTAATTAGTAAAACAATATTTTATTGTTTTATTAGTTTAATTTTGTAAATAATAAATCATTTTGTTTGGAAAATATGTGAAAAAATAAAATTTGATATGTGGGGTTAATTATTAAAATAGTTAAAAATATAGGGAATAAAAAATAATCATATAAAAGTAGATAAAAAGAAAGATACTGAGAATATTCTTTTTTGATGCAAAAAATGGTGCAATGGGTTGGAGATGATTTACTGTTAGATGTGACTTTTGCACCATTTTGGTGCAAAATTTGCACCATTTTGATGCGATGGGTTAGAGATGCCCTTAGGATGTGTTAGGTAGATCGCAGCTGGAGGGGTTGCAACTGCAACAGGATGATTTTTTTCCCAGTCGTAATTGTTTGTTTCATTGCAACTGGATGTTGCAGTTGCGACTATA